AGCCAACCTGGTCTATAGAATGAGTTCCAGGACAGCCAAGGCTACACAGAGAAACTGTCTCAAAAAAACAAACCAACAAATACGTAAAAATTTTAATATAAGATTAAAAAGCAAAACAGCCAGGTGTTGGTGGCACACATCTTTAATCCCAGCACTCAGGAGACAGAGGCAGACAGATCTCTGAATTCAAGGCCAGCCTGGTCTACAGAGTGAATTCCAGGGCAGCCAGGGCTACACTGAGAAAACTTGTCTCACAAAAACAAAAACAAAAACAAAAAACAAAAAACAAAAAAAAAATGAGGTGTCCAGATGGCCCAATGGGTAAGGCCCTCAGTCTGATGACCTTAATTCAATCCCAAGGACCCATATAGCAGAAGGAGAGAATCAACTCCCACAAACGACCTCTGATCTCTGTATGTGCCATGGCACATGTGTACAAACACACACCACATATAAATAAATAAATGTGTTTTTTAAAATAATGAATTACAGGTAAAGGAGATGGTAAATTTCACAAACATTATGACCAAGAAAAGCCTAAAAATTAGGTTCTAAACTCATTTGGATGAATTACAGGTAAGACTAATATCCTATAAAGAGAGAAGCCTGAGGCAGGGGTTCCCAGGGAATAACAGAGCACTGAAGGGTAGGGGGAGTTTTGATCTTGACTCTGGTGGTGGTTACATAGGTACAATACCACAATCCCTCAAAACTTGTTAGAGTTCTGCAGTAAAGTTCAGGGGACAAAGGACTTTGTCACACAATAAGATATTGAATCCAGGGCTGGAGAGATGACTCAGCGGTTAGGAGCACTGACTGCTCTTCCAGAGGCCCTGGGTTCAATTCCCAGAACCCACATTGTGGCTCCCAACCATCTGTAATGAGATCTGATGCCCTCTTTTGGCCTGCAGACATACATGCAGACAGAGCATTGTACACATAATAAATAAATCTTAAAAAAAAAAAAAAAAAAAGATATTGAATCTAAAGTAACCCTAGCAAAATTGCAAGCAAAGTCACTGAGCACACACAATGCTGCCTGGATGACAGGCTCACGAGTATTTAACTTCATCTAAACCTGTGAGAACAAAACTGAAAAATCAAGAGAAAACATCCTGTAAACAACAGCCTCAGGGGCCTCCAAGCCTGACAATCTGACAATGGAGAGTTCAATCCCTGAGTCCTGCTGTGACTTCCTGAAGTACTAGGAATAGAGCCCAAAGCCAGCACATTCTGGGTAAATGCTACGCCACTTATCTGCCTTTTTAAACTAAGTCTTCCTAGGTATTTCAGACTTAAGAGTTTTAAATTCGTGGGGTTTTGTTAATTTATTTATGTGTGTGTTGATTAGGGGTGGGGGGTTAAGGAGTCAGGGAACCCCTTTCAGGAATTGGTTCTCTTTCCCTCATGTGGGTTCCAGGAACCGAACCCAGATCTTCAATCTTGGTGGCAAGCATCAGGCTGGTGTAGAATTCAATATCCTTTGCCTCAGGATATGAAGCAAAAAATGGAATTCCAGCAACTGTCTTAATTACAAAATTATATGCTGTATAATTTTATATACAGACTAACTAGAATCTGCTGGCATAAACACTGACACTTGTCATGGGCATTTGTGGAATCTTTTCAATTTTCAAGAGAAATTACTTCCAAACAAAGGAAAAAAAAAACCAACTTCGATAGAGTAGCGTCAACATACAAAAATCATACAGCAGATGCTGCGGTGTGGCTTAAAGAAAGACCTCCACCCACCTAAGGGTGCAAAAGTCCAGAATGTATTAAATGGAATAACAATGTACAACCCTTATGTCTCGTAACTAAGCACTTTTACATAAATTAACCCACTTAGTCTTCAGAGCAACCCTAGGAGATAGGCACTGGTCTTTTCCTACCTTATTACGTCAGAAAAATAGAGGATATAAAGTTAAATAACCTGTCCAGGTCTCAGCTGGTGGCTACTGGCTAGAATACCAAGCCTTGCAAGCAAAGAGGGTGCTTCACTCTTCACTAGAAACCGGAGATGATACCATAAGTCCAACTAACAAACTTTCTAAGAGACATAAAATACTGGTCAGCCCCATGGATCTATAAACCATATAACCAAGCTTGGGGAATTATTCAACAGCCCTTTCATACCACTCTGCTCAAATGAAGAAATGTCAGGCAAATGCAATGAACACTGGTTCTCTTGAAATGTACACTTAGAGTGGGCTAAAGAGATGATTCAGTGGATAAGAAGACCTAAGAGTTCAGTTCCCAGCACCCATGTCTAGCAGCTCACAATTGCCTGTAACTCCAGCTCCAGGGGATAAACTCCTTCTGAACCCTGAAAACATCTGCATAGACACACATATACACATAGAAAAAGAAACAGTAGCTGGGCAGTGGTGGCGCACACCTTTAATCCCAGCACTCGGGAGGCAGAGGCAGGTGGATTTCTCTGAGTTCAGAGGTCAGCCTGGTCTACAGAGCGAGTGCCAGGACAGGCTTCAAAGCTACAGAGAAACTGTCTTGAAAAACCAAATAAATAAATAAATAGTGAATCTGTCTTAAAAAAAAATTTTAAATGGCCTTAAAGCTGTCTATATGTCCTAGAAGGTAAAGCATTTGTCACATGAGAAGCCACAGAAAGATGGAAGGAGAACCAACTCCACAGAGTTGTCCTGTGACCTCCACACAAACATCACAGCACACTCATATGTCTGTGGTCACACACACACACACACACACACACACACACACACACACACACTCACACAATTAATATATGGGGGAAAAATTTGTAAGTACATTTAAGGGTACTGAAAAGATGGTTCAGTAGGTTTGCTGCACCTACACTTCACATTAAATCTGAACACGGAAACACATGCCTGTAATCCCAGCACTGGACATGCAAAGATAGGAGGCTTGCTGGGGCTCACTGGCCAGCCAGTCTAGCCAAATCCATAAATTCAAGGTTCAGGGAGAGATCCTGCCTCAAAAAATAAAGTAGAAAAAGTAAACAAAGAAGGTAGAGAGTGACAGGGTGGTGGTGGCGCACGCCTTTAATTCCAGCACTTGGAAGGAAGAGGCAGGCCAATCTTTGTGAGTTCGAGGCCAGCCTGGTCTACAAGCTACACAGAGAAACAAAGAATGGGGCTGAAGGAGCTGGGTTGGCAGTTAAGAGCACTGGCTGCTCTTACAGGGATCGCTTGACTCCTGGCTTTCACACGGGGGCCGACAACAGTCTATGACTCCAGTTCAGGGGGTTAAGAAACACTCTGCTAGCACCTGCAGGCACCAAGAATATACAGACCCACACAGCTGGGCATAGTGACAAATGCTTTGAACACAGCACTCAGGATGCAGCACCACATGGAGCTTGAAACTAGCCTGGTCTACATAGTGAGTTCAACTAAGGGCTACACACAGTAAGACTGTGTCTCAAAAAAAAAAAAAAACAAAAACAAAAAAAAACAATTAGGCCAGGCATTGGTGGCGCACACCTTTAATTCCAGCACTCGAGAGGCAGAGGCAGGCGGATCTCTGTGAGTTCGAGACCAGCCTGGTCTACATGAGCCAGTTCCAGGACAGCCTCCAAAGCCACAGAGAAACCCTGTCTCAAAAAACCAAAAAACAATAAGTTAAATAACTAATTAAAAGATTTTCTAATTAAAAATGAAGCTGGGAATGTAGCTCAGTGGGTAGACTGCCTGCTTAGCACAGGAGGTCCTATTTCCATCTCTATTATCAACCACTTGCTGGCACACCCATGAAGTCTCACTTATAAGGTGAGGATCTTATAAGCAGGAGAATCAGAAGTTCAAGGTCATCCTCAGCTATGTAAAGCTCAAGACTATTGGTTTACATGAACTGCTGTCTCAAAAATGGATAAACAAGGAACACATATGTGTACTTATCCTATAACAGTGGCACATACCTACAATCTCTGCACTGGGGAAGCTGAGGCAGGAAGATCCCGCCTGGGCTATTCAGTGAGACAGACAGACAGACACAGACACAGACACAGACACAGACACACACACACACACACACACACACACACATATATATGGTTTTTTCAAGACAGGTTTATCTGTGTAACAGCCTGGGCTGTGCTGGAACTCTCTTTGTAGATCACACTGGCCTTGAACTCACAGAGATCTGCCTGCCTCTGCCTCTGCCTCTGCCTCTGCCTCTGCCTCTGCCTCTGGAGTGCTGGGATTAAAGGTGTGTGCCACCAATGCCTGGGGTGGATATATTTTTTAAATGTGTTATTTATTTGCCGTGTATTGTTAGTGACAGAACATGACCAAATGAGTTCAACTTTCTCCCAGGCTGCCAGCACACTCTGACGCAATCCCATCCCTATCAGCTTTGGAAAGGAGGACAAAGGAGAGGCAGAGCTGAAGCCAAACAAGTGCTGGCCAAACCCTTAAAGACCTTAGACCCCTCGAGGCCAGCTTGGTCTTACAAATCGAGTTCCAGAACAGCCAGGGCTGTTACACAGAGAAACCCTGTCTCGAAAAACCAAAAGAGAGACTTTAGCCCCCTTCCACATGTACAAAGAGGGTGATCTCCAAGACTTTTAGTACCCTCCATAAAACTGGAGGTGTCCTGGAGAAATCAGAAACTGTGGACACATTTCAGTCCCATTCCTAAAGTTCTGGAAAACTCAGGCACCACGGCACTGGGGCAGCTAAGCCAACTCGGTGGGATAAGGCAAGAAAGGGGGATCCCTCTTTCAGAACCCTGGACAGTGAGAAGGCCAGAATCATCCCTAATTGTTGGTGCTGTCTTACAGCACACACATTACCCATACCACCAACAGAGGCCGATCTAAGTGTCTACCTCCTCTAAGTGTGATTCCTCTAATTGACTTGTCATGAGCAGGAAGACAGTAAGTGTAGTTCCCTGCCTAGGAAGGAAATGAAATATTGGCAAGTAGCTGGAAACTAAGGTGCTTCAAGGAGGTGAGAGATGAATGAGATCCCTAGGCTCATTTTTTTTCTTCTTCCTAGGTCTATCCTAATGAAGTTTAAACATAGACGGCCAACTAGCGGCGTCACTCAGACACAGTGTGGGTTGAAATCTAGGCTCAGCGACGCACGTGATTGAGGACAGGTTGCAAAACCTCGCTACCCACTTCTGCACTTTACAAAGGGTACAGGCAAGAGTTAGATAAGCGACACCACTCAGTGGCCCAAAGAGATGGCTCAGCAGGTAAAGGCGTTTGCTGCCAAGCCCGGGGACCTGAGTTCCATCTCGGCGATCCACGAGGTGGAAGGAGAGAAACGACTCCTGCAAAGTTGTCCCCTGGCTTCCATCAGCGCCGTGGCTGGCACACATACACCAAAAATAAACACAACCTAAAAGTAAGCGCGGCTTGTCTTGTG